TTTCTTTCTTTCTTTCTTTCTGTCTTTCTTTCTGTCTTTTTACTCTCAGTTTTTCTTTCATGAATCAGGGGCTGTCCTATCTGTTTGGTATGTGATGGCATCAGTTTATCAATAAATGAAATTTTATCTCATTCTAATTATTATTATCATGATTTTTATTCATTTTTCATCATTCTCTGTTGTTGATACAAAGACTGGAGTTCCTAGTCCTATAAAGTTGGTATACTATATTTTTACTTATTAATTGGGAATATTCATATTATGTAGTTAAATCTTGATGGATTATGGATGGGAATTTGTCAGAAACTAAAAACATGATTGCAACTCTATTGGCAACCCTGTGATAACAACTAAAATGCATTAACTTGAGATATACATGTTTAAATCATCAAAATATAAACTACCTGAAAGTTTTATCTTGATAATCATAAGCAATAAATATTAACAACGGAGCGAGGAAGAGGCATAGATGTGATGGGTATTCTTTTCTGGTGGTTTATTATATTTAGTGCAACCATGGAAAAGATTCCTTTACAGATTAACTTAGACTTCATAGTTTACATAAACATCCTGTATTAAAATGTCACTCTGACCCATTTCTGTTTGTGTTTTGAACCTGAGAGCTTTGAGTTCAGACCAACATTAAGGTGTTCTTATATTGACCCAGCAGCCATGAAAAGGGGTTCATTAAATAAAATGCTTTTCTGAATAAACATATATAATTATGTCAGGTTTACTGGAAGAAAAGAATCAATCGAAAGACAACATATGATCTTTAACTAGCCTGCTTTTATAATGACACGACAGGTTAGAATCCTGGAAATGCTTCTTTTTTTTAATGACAGCTAAACCATCTGTTTTCACTTATACCTCTAGTGTGGAAAAATCCAGACCAATTAACAGCATGCCCTCATGGCAAAAGTATTTCAAGTTTTCCTGTTCTTCCACAGCTAGTTTGAAACCAAATGAATTTGTTTCCCAAAAAAATCAGAGCAAGAAAAACTACCTGATACAAAACACAGACTTTTTTTATACTAGGGAAAATTAAGTTAAACAGTTTAAAATATAAAAATAGGTAAGAGTAAGAGTAAAATCTGAGCAGAATATCCAGGTTTTAATCTAATACAAGTCTCTTGCTTTTTATATACCCAAATGTGTTTTATATTTTTACACATCTATATTCATTTATGCTTTAGGGTTGTTTTTACTTCATCAGAAACCTTTAAATCTTTGTTTAAAGCAAGTTCCCCAAGCTGGTCAAAATAATCAGAGATAATTGCTCCATTAAATAGGTGACCACGATTATGCAGTACTTACCCTCAATAATTTTTGTTGATCAGTAAGCAGTTGAGTTGCTGGCGTGGTCTTTTATGTAAAATAGACTTCTGCTGCTTTGTTAATCCTTTTAAAGTTTTCAGTTCCCTCCAAAGTCTCACACTCTCACATTTCCCAACTCTGCCATCTCATCAGTTTTTTTTTTTTTTAAGCCTGCTGTTTAGGCTCTCACTGATTCTGCAGTGGGTGCCCTGGAATAGTAATGGATTTCTCTCACTCTTTTAAGCTGACCAAGTGGAGGGAAACAAGCCCAACCCAACTGTATAACGCCCTGCCTGAACTGATTTTGCTGGCTGGGCATAGGCTTTGAGGGAGGAGTGATCTGTCCCCCAACTTAGCCTTGTTTTTGTGTTGTAAATATGTGTTTGCAGGGAGGATGTTTTTTTTTTTTTTTTTTTTCAACAATAAGAGGGAGTTTTGTGTGTTTGTGGCATGTGTTATATTTTGGGTGTGTCTGTAACATCTGTTGCAGAAATCTTTGGTAGCTTTTGGTATGTTAGCACAACCCCATAAAGACACTTCTGCTCATGTTGATGCCTAGTTGTGCTGTTTAAACAACATGAAGTATTTTTTTTCTCTTCACAATGTTTGAAAAATTTTAAGCCATCTGTAAAATTATGTTAATAAGTTTTTGTTTTATCTTCTCAAGCAATGCTCCAATTGTGTAAAAAGGAGAACTAACATTGTCAAATTTAAAATATTCTTGCAAAGTTATAAAAAAGCAACTTCAATGCCTTCTTAAAACAGACAAGGGGAATTTTGTTAATGTCATTGCTGCTTTCACTACTCAAACTCTCAACATTAGGACAAAGATAACATGGGTGGAGCTAACGTATGGACAGATGCGGTTTCAAGACACCAAACCAGATGTTGGATATGGTTGTGTCACTATCAAATGCAAGAAAAAATAGCCTTATATTGTTTCAAGATAGTATTATTTTTATTGTTATATAAATGTTTTATTTTTCTAGATGATGTTACCGGGTTCTACAACCATTACAACCTTCTTACAACCTTCTGAGCTGATTGGGTGAAGCTACACCTATTGCCCGCCTACCAATTTAATTTGAGCCAACCACAGTAACAAAGTAAAAGAAGGATTGTTATGTGTTTGGGAAAGCAGAAATATAGTGAGAATTCAGCTTGTAAGTGAGGTTAGACAAGAGGAAGACATTTGTATTGAATATATACTCATTAAAAACACATATAAAATATTTAAAAGCCTAGAAATAATAGATTGGTATTTTACTTTTACCATTAAATTTTTCCTTTGTCATTTGTCACAAACGCTTACACCAAACAGGTATATTTTGGTTTGTCAGATATCCTTTATAATCCAAAACTGCATTTGCCCAAACTAAATAGTTTATATCAGGACAAACAAACAAACAAACAAAAAAAAAAACAAAAAACAGATTGAACAGCTATCTTCTGCCCTTTAATGGAAAAAAAATCTCACATGGTGTATGAGTGTACCATTACCCAAGACCCGTAAAGTTCTCGGGTCTCCTTCCTGAATTCCTGTAAATTCATAGGAAAAGAATGCCCTCATAGCTCAAAGACAGGGGTAGTTTTTCAATTTTTCTTTTAATAATTCTTTCCACTGGAGAGAGATATATGTTGTCACAGCCATGCAGCTTCCTGTTCCGGTGCTCACGCTCTTTCCCAGTGTTGGTCAATGTGCTTGTGCTCACTGTTGTGGGAGCTCAGTGTACTGGAAAGGCCTAATCACCCGTTGTCATAGCGATGAACTTGGGCCCCGTTTGCCAATTTATCCTCTTTTGTTTACTTTATGTTTGAAATTCTCATGGAATTTCCAGCATGTGTTGGCACTCTGTGTGAATTACATCGTTCTGGAGCTTGTTTGTGGAGTTAGCAGATAAAATCCTCAACTGTTTTACACCAGAAGGATCAGTCTAAATCTAGTTATGGGTGTGTTAGAAATATAATATTTATTTTAGGCTTTTTTGAACTATACTTCATTTGAAGATTGTCTCAGGCTGCTCTCAAAAACTGAATTCTTGTGGTGGATGAGGTTCTCCTCACATTGCTTTGGCTTTATCTCACAGTGAATGCCTTTCAAATTATGGGAAGGGTGTTTTGTAAAAGAAAGTGTCATCTCAAAAACTTACTGACCATTGTGATCTCTGAGCAACAGCTCAATCTGCTTCCTGTTTTGTCATCTATTACAAAACAATGACTGACCTTCCCAGCACCCAAGTTGATTCACCTCTCGGAAGGCCTTTTCTCTGTCATCCACTCAGTAAGATATATAATCCAGAAAAAGTTAAGATAAGAAATGACAAGTACTAGTTCCCATGAAATCTAAACTGAAATCTGTTTATCGTTTCAATGTTGGCAGAAGATATGGGTTTTTGTTTATTTCTTTCAGACTACACGCTTACTACTAGGACTAAAAGGAAGTAGTCACTGATAACATATGTGGTATGCAGAGATAATCAGAGGTGCGGAAGGCAGGGATAATGTCATTGTGACACCCAGTAGGCAAGTTTTTTTGTTTTCAGATCTAAACATGCAGGTGAAGGTCAGCTTTATTTACACTCCAACACCAGTTAAATATATAAATAAAATGTTGTTGTAACTTACACAGTAATTCTTAATGAGTTGTTGTATATGTTGATGACACTGAATCTGGAGAAGCATTTGTCTGAAGAGACTCATTCCAATTTACAAAGATGTCTGGCAGGAATAATTATTTTTATTTCCAGCAAGTTACTTTTGTTTCTGTGTTGCCCTGCGATGGACTGTCGGCCTGTCCAGGGTGTACCCCGCCTCTCACCCATTGACAGCCTGTAGACAGCTGGAGATAGTCACCAGCACCCCTCGCGACCACACTTGGGAAGAGCGTTACAGAAAATGAATGGATGGATATATTTTATTGAACTTTAAAAAGAGAACAATTATAACATTAAACAGATTGGCCATACATCATTCTTAATTCTATTGCTATTACAGTGTCAATTTTTTCCATTTCTTTTCCTATTGCGGTTCTTGTAGCCTCAGTCTGTACTTTCATTTTTCCATTAGGAAAACAGTATGTCTTCTATTATAGTTATCCATTTCTCTTTTGATGGTAGCCTTCCCCCATCAAGATTTTTTTAACCAAAATATTTGTCAGATTAAAACCATCATAAAAACTACAAAAAATATAGAACTTCAGGCTTTAAAGAGATGTTTTGGGCATTTCCAAAAAAAATGTACTATATGAATGATCATCATCTGTCCCTTCACTTTCTCTCCAGCACTTCTGCTGCTTCTGTAATTGTTTGCTTTTTAATTTTGGTACAGGGGCGGATTTAGGAAATTTGGGACCCTAAACAAAGACAGGCAGGGGGCTCTCTAAATTGAGAAGACAATGCATAAAACAGACCCATCATACAGATACAGAAATTTTAATGGAATAGACATGCATTATTTTATCACCGTGGACAAGCTGTGATCTGCTTACTTGTTCTCCATTTTTCATTTGTATGAAATAATAGCTGCATGTATCATGACAGCAGACAAGATGGAGGAGAGCAGGAGGCGGGGTTACGAATGTACTTGCTCTGGAGAGCAGAGTTTGCTGCTTTTATATGTTGTCACCAAAGTTCCCAGTAGCAGAAAAGAAGTCGCTAGATTTGGCGCTAAGCGCTTTTTTGGTTTGCTGCTGTCTGTTTGGACCTTTCTGAACATGGACTGAGTCACACTTAACATTATAAGCGTTTTGATGGCATTTTACCTAAAGATTTTTTATCAAAAACATAATTAATGTGCACAAATAAGGAATACTTGTAATATTAACCATACATGTAAACAGAGTTTTTGGGGGCCCCCAGGAACTTTGGGCCCTAGACAACTGTCAAGTACTGCCTAATGTTAAATTTC